TAGTCAGTATTATAAAATCCATTGACCAAATGTTTTAGGAACAATTCTTACAAGCAGTGATATTTTCCTGCTGACAGACCTAGACAGAATTTCACGTTGTGGTTCTCTGAACAGATTTCAAACCCAACACACATTTCTATCTATTATGAAATGTTCACAAAAGGATTACCTAACTCCCACTGCTCCCCATATAACTGATTATAAAGTTGCAATAATGGGAACCTGCACCAACACAATAGCGCCAAAGATGTCTCTTCAGAGGAAACCCATGATGACACCTTTTCCCTACTTTTATTTATTAAGAGTAGAAGCTGTGCCATCACCAGTAAGGTAGAAGAATGGACACTAGAACTCCAATGGCAAAACGTACGTCTATTTCTTGACGTACATGCTGGATAGCAAAATACAGTTAGTGCAAAGTTTCGGGGTCACACAGGATCCCCTTCATCAAGCAGAAATAAGTGATGCCTGCTGAAGGGGATCCCGTGTGACCCCGAAACAAGTGTATCTTGCTATGCAGCATGTACGTCAATAAATAGACATACTTGATTTGCCATTGGAGTGCCGTGTCCATCCTTCTATTCATGTATTGAGGCGGGAGCCATCCGTCGACAACCATTGCACACACTTTACATTGATGGAACAGTGGCTCTGAGTGAGGTGGGTATATGGACTCACCAGTAAGGTGTCGGAGCACATTACTAGGATATGCTGTAGTGTGATCAAGCATTGATCAATGGAAGCACGGGAGGGAAAGTTACGGGAAAGAGGGTATGTAATACTGGTGCCACCATTCAAGGCTAGCAGTACACTAGGGATACCAATCTCTATCTACTGAGAAATGTAACCACTTGCTTACAGTCAACTGAATCGTCCATTGCTGAAATCAATATGCTGCAAATTAGATTATGTTTAAAAAGTGTTTACATTTGGACATGGCAAAGCAACAAGTTCACTTAACTCCCCCTCTCCCCAGCAGCATATACTGATCTTAACTTCGCTCCTCTGCCACTCTGTTCAGATGCTGGGAGCAAAGATAAAACCTGGTACTTCCAACTATAGGGGAGCATGTGATTCACTCCCCCTTCACCCATGTAACAGTGCTGTTGCATGATGACTAACCAGCCATATCACACGAGGCAGGAAGACAGTCCCCAGCCCTATGTAAGCTCCAATTTGCTTCTTTTTTTTGCTCCTGGGAGCTGAAAAGAGCAGCAGCGAAACAAAGGGAAGGTTAGTATGTGGTGCTGCAAAGAAAGGAAGTTAAAAAAATCTGTTGCTTTGTCCTACATGTACCTTCTTTAATGGCTGCCCCACCAACAGCTTATACTTATCTTCATGATGCTCTGTTCAGCAGCTGCCAAGAGCAATGTACATTATCTCCAGAGAAGCTCCCCTTTTCAGCCAAGAGCTTACACAGGGCAGAGGCTCTTTACCTGAGGGTCATGTGACAGCGCTGTTTTTCTTAGTGGCCAATTGGCAAGCACCAGTACTGTCATGTGTAAGGGTGTAAGGGAGGGGAACAAGTCAGGTGATCACCATATTGCAGTATCGAGTATATTTCTTCACTCCCAGTTTCCAAGCTGTGTGGTAAGGGAGCAATGGGAATGTAAATATCAGCTGCTGATGGACCCCGCGGTCAAAGACAACATCTTATTTTGCCTTGCACAAGATGACTTAAAGTGGAACTTTTGCCAAAATGTTCTTTTTTTTTTTATAGCGTGGGGAAGGCATAGAATGTCAGCGTTAACTGCAGTATGCCCACCAGCGGCGTATTTAACTTTGCTGCTGCCCTAGGCAAGGCAGCGCTGTGTGCTAGATACCGGCTGCTGCTCTGTGTCGTGGTGCTGGCGCTGGTGGCGAGAGCGCACTATACAGAGGTGGGTGATGCCATCTGCGGGAATCGGCGGGTCATTCCGGGGGGATGTGCAGCTTTGTCCTAGGCAAGGCAGCAACGCCGCCCTCAGCGAATCTGCCGCTCCAGGCAAACGCCTTGTTTGCCTCGCGGCAGATACGCCCCTGATGCCCACAGGGAAAAAGGTGATCACATTGGAAAACTCTCCAGTGGAGGGGAGGCAAGGGTTAGAACCTCCGTTGCATTGCTATTGCTGTCTATATCCACAGTTGGGATCCCACTTATTTCCTAACCCATTGACTGTTTCCTGGAATAAAAACCCAAAAGTTCTTTCTAACCTTTCAGCACTTTATCCAAAATGCAGAAAAAGTTATGTCTGGAGTTAAATATAATTATTTATCTCACTCTTACAAAGGCACCAGAGATTAGGACTACATATTAGGGATGCACCGATATATCGGCCGCCGAAACATATCGGCCGAAAGTGCCATTTTCCTGCCGATACATCGGCGCATTCCTGCTTTCTTTCCTCTCCGCAGGGCGCTGCTCTGTGTCCCAGTGGGAGGAGAGCGCTGTGAGCGGCCTGCGTCTCCTCCCACACCGCTCAGCCTCCTATCACAGTCCGGCAGAGCAGTGTGGGGGGCGGAGACAGGCCGCGCTGTCACAGGAGGCTGAGCTCTCCTCCCTGCTCCGCTCGCTCAGCCTCCTGCGACAGCGTGTCAGAGAGGAGAGCTCAGCCTCCTGTGACAGCGTGTCAGAGAGGAGAGCAAGGGCAAACACTCAGCGATCAGTGATATCGCTGAGTGTTTGTAGATAACTGAGGATATGGTATGGTACCTATATCCTCAATTATGAATGAATGGGAAGTGATCTACATCACCTCCTGTTCATTCATAGTTGTAGTTATAGTAAACAATGTCCTCATGTTATCAATGAACAGGAAGACTCAGTATAGAGGATTCCTGTTCATTGATAACAGGGGATACAGAAAAAGAGATAGAGGACTTTGTGTCCTCAATCTCTTTTTCTATTTTAAAAGGGAAATATCAGTTTAGACCCCCAATATTTCCCCGAAGCCCCTAAAAGTAAAGTAAAAAATAAAAATATTTAATAAAGAAAATGAATAAAAAATAATAAATATAAAAAAATTAAAAAGTTTATAAAAAAATAAAATAAAAAAATGTAAATAAAAAAACATTTTCGGTATCGGTTTCGGACTGACAATTTTTTAAATTTCGGTTTCTTTTCGGTTTTAAAATTTCCATTTCGGTGCACCTCTAATATATATATATATATATA